CACATTTGCTATGATATCTAAATAATGTTGAAATGTTACTCTTTCACTCCTTTTAAATATTGTTATACTTTGCGTTTTATCCAGTGTTATCAAAGGCGCGCTTAAGCCCTGAAGCAAGGCTCAAAACGTGTTGAGCGCTTCGCCTCGCTTTATGTGCGCTTCAGTGTCGTCATCAAGGTTCTAAGACAAACTTTTCCTTGCCAATGAGCCTCTTATGAAGAATTGACACTAAACAATTTATATTTCACTTTATAATAACAAAAATTCGATTTCATTGGTCATATATTTGTCATTCATGTTTATAATTATTAGTCTTGGACTAAACTTATATATTTGTATTTTTTTTCTCCCTTTTGCGCCTTTTTTCATTAAAGCCCACGCTTTATTTGCGCTTTGCGCTTCAAGCCCCCACGGACCTTAGAGCTTTTTTGCGCTTTTTGCCTTCGATAACACTGGTTTATCATAACACTAATCTTGGTCTTAGTTCTTTAATAGTACTTGGGCTTTCATATCTGCCAAGAATTGTCTTTTATATTCCTGAAATCAATAAAATACCTTTACTAGTTCTAGTGCTATTTGGACGTCATGGGTTGCCAAGAGAAGGTTAAGATTAATCAGGAAACTGCGTTTTGGTATATAGTCCTCTAAAAGATCTTGTTCACTTTTATCTACTATTTTGCTTTTATTTCATTTCTCTAATGTTGTCTTTGTATTTTTTTGGCTACTGTTTCTGCTTTCCTCAGAAACTTCTGCTGCTCCCAACTGTTTCCAACTCCATCGAAGTATGGGACTTCCTCAGTGTGGATTCACAGGTTGAAAACATTATCAGTTGACAGTTTTCTTACTCTGGATAGTTTTTAGAACAAAGAGAGTTGATTTTACATTCTTTCTTTGTTCCTTTGTTTTGTTGTGCAGACATATAGCTTCTCAAACTCCTTGTCCATAATTGAAACATTACAGGGTGAGTAATCTGAGTTAGCATGATGAGAGGGAAAAGGGGTGGGGCATCGTCCTGTGTGTTAGTTATAAATAGTTTATATGGATACTGGATTTCAGCTGACCTGGACAGCATTGTACGCCAAAAGAGCAAAGAACCTCCGCATGGTATAAGCCCTCGAACTGATCTGTTATCCTCCAAGGGGAAGCATTCTAATACTGAAAGCAAGAATCCAACTTCAAGGATGGAACAAGATCATGCAGGACATGAATCAAGATTCAGGAAAGATTATGTCGTACTCTCTCCTCCAAAAAGACCTCTCACAGAAAATTTTGAGGATTCAAATAGTGACAACAAGGTGCATGCAAATAGAAAATCAACCCCAAACATGCAGACAACATCAAAATCAGTTGAAAGTAACTCACGTGCATCACCTGAATCTCTTGTTGCTGCTCCCGTGGATCCCCCCTTTCCCAGTGAGGTAGTCACTTGTCTAATTTGGAAAGAATATACCTCCTTGCACTATTGAACTCTAAAGAATAGATTGCTTATGATTCATCGATTATGGAAAGATGAGAAGGTTCATTTATTCAAGGATGCTTTTATATTTGATGTAATTTCTACAATGGCTCTAAACCTCATTTTTATTTCACTGTAGTGGGTGCCACCAAATTTAACTGTGCCTATATTCGATCTTGTCGACGTCATTTTTCAGCTCCAAGATGGTGGATGGATCAGGTAGTATTTACATATGTGACTATCAAATTAAGCTCTTGGACTTGATTTTAAATGCACTTGTGTCATGGACTTCACTGGACCTGTTGACTTGGGTTCATTTTAGGAGGAATGCATTCTGGGTGGCTAAACAGGTTTTACAATTGGGAATGGGTGATGCATTTGATGATTGGCTGATTGAGAAAATCCAGCGTCTGCGCAGGGGTTCAGTAGTTGCTGCAGGTATCCAACGTGTTGAGCAGGTATTGTTCAAGTGCCCATTTGTTTATTTTTCAAGAAAGAGGTGCTAATGACAATTCTATTTGCATGTGGAACAGTAATGTTTTTGGCTCACTGGATAAGTGTCGTTTATCTTAACATATTTTTGTTCGAGAAATTCTTGTGTCTTTTTATTCTTTTCTGATTGTGCTCTATGTTCTTTCTCCCCTTTTAGGGGGTGGAGACAGGGCACTGGAGTATGTACTGTCATCAGTCATCATCTAACTTGCTTTATTGATATATCTTGCACATCCATTCAAATGAAAGAGCTGGTGCATGCTTCTTTAAAATCCTTTTAAAGCAGTTTCCCATGACTCTGGACAGCCAAAATTTCAATGTTGGACTAAGTACCAGTTAACTCTTTGTGCTCCATGTAGATTCTCTGGCCGGATGGTATATTCATCACAAAGCACCCAGCACGTCAACGTCCTGCACCTTCCTCATCCCCCAATTCTCCTCCAGGCCAGCCTTCAACTCCATTATCTTCGCCTAGGCTGGAGGATTCACAGAAACTGGATGAGATGCAGCAGCAGGAAGCAGAGCAACGTGCAAAATTTGTTTATGAGCTAATGATTGGTTGGTTCTTTTACCATATTCTGTTGGATATATGCATTCAACTCAACTCATTTTCTTTTTTCCGTACTCTACAATTGTTCGACTCCTATTATCATTTGCAGATAAGGCACCAGCTGCTATTGTAGGACTTGTTGGTCACAAAGAATACGAACAGTGTGCAAAGGATCTTTATTACTTCATCCAGGTGATCACTATGCCATTACGTTTAGGAAACTCCCTATATGATCGATAGCCTTTTAAATTCTTTCATCTGTCTTAGTTTCTGTGTTTGACCTCTTCTAATTTCTAAAGAAACAACTCGTTGAGAGACTTTTCTTTTTCTTGTACAGTCATCTGTGTGTGTGAAGCAGTTAGTCCTTGATCTTCTCGAGCTATTACTGGTGTCCGCATTCCCAGAGCTGACTTCTGTATTTAACACATTGCATGAGGAGAAGGAGATATTTGGAGAACTCAAAATAGATTAAGTGGATCGTTTGCCAAAAGGCCATTTCGTTATACAATTTTGTTTGAGGATTTACCAAGACTAGTGTGTAATATTCTTCTTTCTGTGGAAGCACAAAATGCTAGGTTCATTTTATCAAATATGTAAAAATGTTGGGAGGGCCATGACTGTTACAAGATTTTTGCCAAGAGAAGTTATGGACCAACAGTCATAAATATTAGTATATGTTAAGATGTCTGGAAATCCACAAATGATGGATTAGTAAATAGCAAGATATGACTTATTTATACTGAATATGAATATTTAAGATGAAGCTAGAGTTTTGCTATAGATTCTCAAATATTTTTGACTGGTCATTTTTTGGTGAAGTTTCATTATGTGTTTTGATTATAATTTTTGTGAGAAATATTTGACTTTTTAAAGAAACATGATTTATATCCATAAGTTTCAAAAACTATTTAACATTCAAAAATTTACAAAAGCATAGAGAGACATGGACCTAACAACGAGGATAATCTAAACAATCGACAAAATGACATACTATAGGCAAAATACAATGGTTCAACTAACAAAAAAGTACATTTGTCGTATCTAGGGGCGGACCCACGCTTGGTCAAGGGGTGTCGAGCGACACCCCTTCGCCAAAAAATTACATTGTATATAGAGGTAAAATTTTGGTTTAATAAATATATATAAAAGTATTAACACCCCATGATAATAGTGAAATGTTTAGTCTAGTGGTTAAAAAATTGTAAATATTCCTTAAGATGGTGTGTTAAAGCCTTGTTGGCCTACTTATAGGCACTACTTCCACTTGAAGAGGTCTCTTTAGCAAAGAAGTCATTGACCTAGAATAGCCAGCTTTCTTGCACCATCTGGTAACATATAAGGCCGCCATAACTTCATAATATTACTTAAAATAATATTTGAATGTTTTAGCTAAAGTTTTTTTTTTCTCATCTCGTATTCACATTGGAGCATGATTAAATTCAGATTCACATCAGAAAGTCCTATATTGAATTTGGGTGGGTAAAGTGATTAATTCCTAACAAAAGGGACTCCCTCCCTATACAAGGAGACTCAATTCTCAAGACTTCTCGATTAAGGATAAAATAGTACTTATCACTCCACCACGACCCTTGTTAGTGTTTCAATTGAAGTTGAAACTAATGAAGTTCATAGTGTAATTACTCATCATAAGCAATGTGAAATCAAATAATATATTTTATGTAGCATTTTCATCTACTGAAAGCTAGCAGACTTAGTCTACTTTTTATCACGTTTGACGCGTTTATTTAAAAATAACTTTTTAAAATATATTTTTCAGCTGATATATAATACTTCTATATTGCAGTTCTGATTAATTCAAATTGACATAGTATAATGTCTTTGTTGAATATTTCTGTCCATGTTAAATTTATACCTTCAATTATTTAGAGTAATTAAATCTCAATCTTAATACTAGATATTCTATCTTATCCTATTCAAATTGTTATTATTTTATCTTACCTCTTAGATGAATTAAAATAATCCCAAAATTATAATTCAAAACCTATAATTTTGTCGGCAAACCAGACGGTAGTTGTTGATAAAATTAATACAACTTGATGTTTAGACTTTTTCAGAAGAGGTTAAAACTTCAACATCTCACAGCTGGAACAACATTTAATTTAGCATTGATTGACCCTCCATTCCATATTAATTTAATTTTTGAGGTATTTTTCATATTTTAAATTAACTTAATTGTTCAGTTTTTAAGATTACTTTTAGAGTGTTCTTCCAATTTTATCCTTCATTAGTTAGTATTGGAATTAGTGATTAATTAATATTTAGTTATTTTAATCATAAAATTGACAATAATTAATATGGGTAAAAATGGAAAACTATGTTCAATTTATATCTTAATCTACTTTTTTTAAAGGGTGTGAAACACCTCAAAAATTAAATTAATATGAAATGGAGGGAGTATTAATTATTTTATCTCGTAATTTATACCTCAAACATTAAATTAATATGATATGATATGACGATTTTTTGAAGAAACTACAAGTTGAATTAAGTGCCTCAATAATGTGTTTGTTGATTAGTCACTTTCAAGATGGTGAAGGAGAGTTAATAGTAGTACCTACCTGAAAGCCCTGCAATTATCAGCTTTCAATTCACTCTCAACCTATTTTCATTCTACCTTGTAACTAAGAAATCTAGTGAAGAATTAATCAATCAGATATGGAAATCTTATCTATTTTTGTGGACAAGGTAACAGATTGCTTGATCCAGCCAGTTGCGCGAGGGATTGGGTATTTCGTTTACTACAAGAGAAACATCAGATCTATGGAAAATGAATCTGAGAAGCTGGAGAATATCAGAATTGGGGTGCATCAAAGAGCGGAGGCTAACCGGAGAAACTCACAAGTCATTTCACCTAATGTTGAGGCTTGGTTTACTAGTGTTGGTACCATTACTGCTGATGTGGCAGCTGTAATGCGACGAGGTAGAATTGAGGTTGAAAGATATGATTGGTGTCCAAACTTGAAGTCACGTTACTCGCTGAGCAGGAGAGCTAAGAAAATTGCATTGGAGTTGATCGAACTTCGAGATGAAGGCAACAATTATGCTGTTTTCTCCTATCCTGCTGTTGAAAATGAACCTGTACCTATCAACAGTGCTGAGGAGTTTCATTCTAGAAAATTGCAAGAGGATGAGGTCATGGAAGCTTTGAACGATGACGGGGTCACTATTATTGGGATATGTGGTATGGGTGGTGTTGGTAAGACGACACTGGCTGAGAAAATCAGACAAAAGGCGAAACAAGAAAGGTCGTTCAATGATGTTGTTATGGTAATTGTCAGTCAACAACTAGACCGTAAAAGAATTCAGGATGAGATCGCAAGAGGGGTCGGGCTTACATTAGAAGGGAATGATTTGTCGAGTCGTGGAGATCGGCTACATCAAAGGTTAACGGATCACAACAGCCGCACTCTTGTAATCTTGGATGATGTTTGGAAGGCTCTTGATGATCTAGAGAAACTTGGAATTCCCACCGGTGGCAACCACAACTACCGGTGCAAAGTTATATTGACGACACGTCTCCGGCCTGTTTGTGATACAATGAAGGCTCAGAAGATCATGGAAATTGGAATTTTACCTGAAGAGGAAGCATGGATCCTTTTCAAGGAGAAAGTCGGTAATTTAGTCAACGATCCTTCTCTGCTTGACATAGCAAAAGATGTTTCCAAAGAATGCAAGGGGTTGCCGCTTGCAATTATTACAGTTGCAGGAGCACTAAAGCGTAAAACCAAGCCTTCGTGGGAGGATGCCCTTGAACAATTACGTCGTGCAGAAACAGCAAATATCCCTGGACTGCACAAAGAGTTGTATAGACATCTGAGGCTAAGCTATGATTACTTGGAAAGTGATGAAGTCAAGTACCTCTTTTTGCTTTGTTCTTTGTTTGAGGAGGATAGTGATATTTGGATTGAAGAATTACTTAGATATGGAATGGGGCTTGGCATGTTTTCGGAAATGAACAATTTAGAACATGCAAGAAATAGGGTGTGTCTTTTGATAGAAATATTGAAAGACAGTTTCTTGTTATCCCAAGGTTCAAACAAAAACTATGTCAAAATGCATGATGTGGTACGTGATGTGGCTATATATATTGCATCTGAGGGAGACCATATATTTATGGTAAGGCATGATGTGAACTCAAAAGTGTTCCCTAAAAAAGACTCTTACGAGCAATACAATCACATGTCAATAGTTGCAAATGAATTTGAGGAGCTTCCTAGACCAATATTTTGCCCAAAACTGAAGCTTCTAATGTTGAAACTCTGTTTTGAAAATCCATTCAAATTACAGGATAATTTTTTTAATGGCATGGGTGAACTCAAAGTCTTAAGCCTGGGTAGATATAATGAGGACTCCATTTGTCCTTTTCCAGCATCCATTCAGAGGTTATCGACTTTGAGGACGCTGCATCTGATTAATTTAAAGTTGGATGACATATCTATTATTGGGGAACTTGTCAATTTAGAAATTCTAAGCATAAGAGATTCTCGGTTAGATGAGCTGCCAGAGGAGATAGGAAATTTGGCCAAGTTAATTGTATTAGGGTTTTGGAATAAGAAGAAAACACTTAAAAGGATTTCAACAGATGTCTTATCAAGACTAGTTCGATTGGAGGAACTACATTTGGTGGGAGTAGAAGAGTGTAGTTACTTGAGGGAACTGAAATCCTTATCGAAATTGATTTACAGTAAGTTGGTCCTTCCCTCCAAGTTGACACGTTACACTATTAAAGTGGGCGATGCTTACGAACAGAGCATGGATGATTACGACAAGAGTATTGCTTTCCAGGTGATGGAGACCACCCCATTGGGTGATTGGATCTGCCAACCTGTTGAAGGAGAGTGAATATGTAAATTCACATGGAGAGGGCTCTAATAATGTGTTGACTGAGTTGCAGCCAAATGAATTTCAGAACGTGAAATGTCTCTGCCTCTCTCGTTGTGTTTTAGTGACACATATATTCAACATCTCTCGGACTCGGACGACACATAAAGTAATCAAGTTACCCAATTTATATCAGTTGGAGCTTGCACATCTGAAATGCCTCACTCACTTTTGCAGTGACAATGTTGACGGCATTGAGTTCCCTCAGTTACGAAAAATGACCTTCAGTTATTTACCTGAGTTCCAAAATTTGTGGCCTACGGTCAACAACTCCATCACTCACTCAAATCCTCTTTTTGACGAAAAGGTTTGCTTCTTGTCATAGAAAATAAAGACTTTTTTTAAAATATGAAATGAGGTTACTTTTTCTGTTTTTATTTTGAGGGTTTTTAACTTTTTATGAATTAAAATTTACCTTTAATTTTACTTAGCATTAAAGATATTTACTTACACAAAGTTTATTCTTTTACAGTTAAAAATACAAATGGATCAGATATGCTTTTTTGTCTACTGAAGTTTATTTAAAAAAGGTTATATAGGCTATATTTGATTCTTCTCACCTGACTTTTTTTTTCTACTTTTTTTATTCAATGGCTTATTTAAGTTTTTAATATCTCCCTCAAAAATTTATTTGCTTATCATTATTTGGGATTCTTATTCTTATTTCATTTTTTTTAGAGTGAAAATAAATAGATATGGAAAAAGAAGAAAATAGTAAGAACAAATTTAAGATTTTTTTTTTGGTAGCTATATTGTAATTTATTTTTTTGAAAAAAAGGTAAAAAAAGAATGCCCTTAAATTACATGAAATGAAAAAAAATGTTCGTTGTTTATAGTTTGGTCCAAAAATGATTTTGCCCTCAACACTTTGGTCAAAAAATGCCCTTGCCATTAATAGTTTGATCCAGAAATGTCCCTATTTGTTACTAAATAGGTCAAAAATGTCATTTTCCTAATAAATAAAGTATTTCTTTTCTTTTTAAACAAATCTTATTCCAGATAAAATTATTACTTTTAAAGAACTCTATTCTTGTTTTCTTTATTTTAAAATCACTTTAACTAATAAAAATGTAGGAAATAGCTTTTTTCTTCGTAATCTCATTTTATCAATTTAAATAGAGTAATTTCATGTACCCTTTTAATGGATAATATATACCAATATACATATAAATCATAGTAAATCCATCAATAATTTTTATTTAGATAATTATAATAAAATAAATATTTTCAATTTTTTTCCAAATTGAAGTAGGATAAATACTTGTTAATAAAGAAATATTATCAGGAAAAGAATGTTCAAAAAGAAAATAAATAATATATTTATTAGGAAAAATGACATTTTTGACCCTTTCGTATCTGCCAAAATAAAAATAAATACAAGCAGATGTATGACACCCAAATCATTCATTGAATTAAGGAAAAATGAGCAAATACACTGCTCAACTTTTGTGATTTAGAGCAGATATACATCTTGCTAATAAAGTGGTGCATATATACCCCACTATCTAATACAAGGTGCATATTTACCCTCTTCGTTAACATATCTATATTTACTTAATTAAATATCTATATAATACCAATTTTTTAATTTCAAAAAATGTCATGTGGCTTTCAAAATCTATCTCTCTTTTTCTTTTCTTTTTTAAGAGAAAACTACATCAAATACCCATTAAAATGAAACTAATTACCCGAATATACCCCATCTTAATCTAACTACAACAATACCCATTTAATAGTTAATAATTACCCGCATACCTAATTGATAATTCTTAGCTATTACTTTATGATTTAACTTTATTTCCTTTTATCATTTCTTTATTTTTTCCGTTGCCTCCTCATGCCGAACTAATTTAATTACTTTATCTTTTAAGCTTCTTTTTTTATTAATCATTTTCTTTTATCATTTCTTTATATATATATATTAAAGATACCATTTGGTAATATATACTCTTACAATATCATTTACCAATGAGTATAGGGTGTGAATAGGAAACATATATATATATATATATATATATATATTTTACTGATTTAGTATAAATTTAAGCGAAATTATCGGCATTAATGATATCAATATAGTATATGATACTGATTTAGTATCAGTTAAGCAAAATTAGTTGAGGGGTATATAGTGTAATTATCTAGTGTGTATGAATATAAAGGGGTATATATTGTAATTATTTTATTTTTATGTGGTATTTGCTTAGTTTCCCTCCCCTAAACCTGGCCCATTATTTTTATATATTTCAAAAATTATCTCATATACAATATTATATATATATATCGCTTTTAAAAATATATAAATGTGTCTAAGCACTTTTGGCCTAGTGTTTTCTTCCAAGTATATTTGCATCAAAGTTTGATACTTCAATGTTTGCAGGTTTCTTGTCCCAACTTGGAAAAGCTATGGATCGATTGGCTTGACAAAATAAATGCTCTATGCTCTCACCAACTTCCAACTACCTACTTCAGCAAACTTGAAACATTGCATGTATCGAATTGTGGAAACTTGAGAAACTTGATGTCTCCATCAGTGGCAAGAGGTCTTATAAACCTCCAATATTTACAGATAGAAGGATGTTCATCAATGGAAGAAGTGATCACAAAAGAGGAACAACAAGGAGAAGGAATCATGACCTTATTTCCCCTATTGGAAGAACTAAACCTTCTAAGGCTGCCAAAGTTGGGGCATTTCTTTCTGACAGAGCATGCTCTTCAATTTCCATTTCTCAGAAAAGTGAAGATACGTGACTGCCCTGAAATGAAGACGTTTGTCCAACAGAGAATATCTGTGAGTACACCGAGTCTCAAAAGTGTGAACAATGATGATGAGGTGAAAGTAGTTGATCTCGATAAAGCAATGTTCAATTCTAAGGTATGTCTTGTGTCACTAGCTTTATAACTAATTACTATATATATTTGTGTCATACCTTAATACACCCCTGGTCTAGTGCTATCTTTCCATTTTAACTAGCAAATAATAATAGTAATAGTAATCTTTTCATATAGTTATTTCTGGTTGCCACCTGATATCTATGTTGACTGAGGTATGAAATATAGGTGAAATTACAATATTGTAACTCAAAGGTTCACGTGAATTCAATAGCTTTTGCCTAGAGACTTTAATTTGTATTAGTAATATCTAGAAATTTCTTGATTATAAACGCGATTGTTATTGGATATTAACCTGAGTTCATTAGAGATATCTATAAATTTTAAATTCTGAATTGCTTTATAATACTTCAACGTTTGCAGGTTTCTTGTCCCAACTTGAAAGATCTAACCATCTGGACACTTAAAAGCATAACTGCTCTATGCTCTCACCAACTTCCAACTGCCTACTTCAGCAAACTTGAAATATTGTATGTATCGAGTTGTGGAAACTTGAGAAACTTGATGTCAACATCAGTGGCTCGGGGTGCACTGAATCTACGAAGAATATTAATACACAATTGTGTGTCAATGGAAGAAGTGATCACAGAAGAGGAACAACAAGGAGAAGAAATCATGACCTTATTTCCCCTATTGGAAAAGTTGGAGCTTAAAGAACTGCGTAAGCTGAGGCATTTCTTTTTGACAAAGCGTGTTACTGAATTTCCATTTCTCAGAGAATTGAGAATTCATGACTGCCATGAAATGAAGATGTTTGTCCAACAGGGAATATCTGTGAGTACGCTGAGTCTCGAAAGTGTGAACAATGCTGATGAGGTGAAAGTAGTTGATCTCAATAAAGCAATGTTCAATTCTAAGGTTTGTCTTGTGCCGTTAGCTTTATAACTAAATACTATATATATTTGTGTCATACATTAATACACCCCTGGTGTGTTGCTATCTTTCCATTTTAACTAGCAAATAATAATAGTAATAGTAATATTTTCATATAGTTATTTCTGTTTGCCACCTGATATCTATGTAAACGGAGGTAAGAAATATAAGCGAAGCTACAATATTGTAACTCAAGGGTTCACGTGAATCTAATAGCTTTTTCCTAGAGACTTTAATCTGTATTAGTAATATCTAGAGATTCCTTGATTGTGAACGCGATTGTTATTGGATATTAACCTGAGATCATTAGAGATATCTATAAATTTCAAATTCTGAATTGCTTTATCATACTTCAACGTTTGCAGGTTTCTTGTCCTAACTTGAAAGAGCTAATCATCAGGAAACTTAAAAGCATAAGTGCTCTATGCTCTCACCAACTTCCAACTGCCTACTTCAACAAACTTGAAACATTGTATGTATCGGATTGTGGAAACTTGAGAAACTTGATGTCTCCATCAGTGGCTCGGGGTGCACTGAATCTACGAAGAATATTAATAGACAATTGTGTGTCGATAGAAGAAGTGATCACAGAAGAGGAACAACAAGGAGAAGAAATCATGACCTTATTTCCCCTGTTGGAAAAGTTGGAGCTTAAAGAACTGCGTAAGCTGAGGCATTTCTTTTTGACAAAGCATGTTACTGAATTTCCATTTCTCAGAGAATTGAGAATTCGTGACTGCCATGAAATGAAGATGTTTGTCCAACAGGGAATATCTGTGAGTACGCTGAGTCTCGAAAGTGTGAACAATGCTGATGAGGTGAAAGTAGTTGATCTCAATAAAGCAATGTTCAATTCTAAGGTTTGTCTTGTGCCGTTAGCTTTATAACTAAATACTATATATATTTGTGTCATACATTAATACACCCCTGGTATGTTGCTATCTTTCCATTTTAACTAGCAAATAATAATAGTAATAGTAATATTTTCATACAGTTATTTCTGTTTGCCACCTGATATCTATGTAAACGGAGGTAAGAAATATAAGCGAAGCTACAATATTGTAACTCAAGGGTTCACGTGAATCTAATAGCTTTTTCCTAGAGACTTTAATCTGTATTAGTAATATCTAGAGATTCCTTGATTGTGAACGCGATTGTTATTGGATATTAACCTGAGTTCATTAGAGATATCTATAAATTTTAAATTCTGAATTGCTTTATAATACTTCAACGTTTGCAGGTTTCTTGTCCTAACTTGAAAGAGCTAATCATCAGGAAACTTAAAAGCATAAGTGCTCTATGCTCTCACCAGCTAATCATCAGGAAACTTGAAAGCATAAGTGCTCTATGCTCTCACCAACTTCCAACTGCCTACTTCAGCAAACTTGAAACATTGCATGTATCGGATTGTGGAAAGTTGAGAAACTTGATGTCTCCATCAGTGGCTCGGGGTGCACTGAATCTACGAAGAATATTAATAGACAATTGTGTGTCAATGGAAGAAGTGATCACAGAAGAGGAACAACAAGGAGAAGAAATCATGACCTTATTTCCCCTGTTGGAAAAGTTGGAGCTTGAAGAACTGCCTAAGCTGAGGCATTTCTTTCTAACAAATCCTGTTACTGAATTTCCATTTTTCAGAGGAGTGAAAATTCGTGACTGCCCTGAAATGAACGTTTGTTCAACAGGAAATATTTGTGAGTACACCGAGTCTTGAACGTGTGAACAATGATGATGAGGTAAAAGTAGTTGATCTCAATAAATCCATGTTCAATTCTAAGGTTTGTCTTGTGCCTCTAGTTGTATAACTAATTATTATTAGAGGAACTTTCACAAATATCCACTATAATAAACTTAATTATGCTCCATAGCTATAGTTTGCATATTTATGGGTTGTAGCTATAGTTTAAGCTGCCTCATTTGTATAATTCGCGGATTTTGTATAATTCACAGGTTTTGTATAATTCGCAGGTACATTTGTATAATTCATTTATTTTTGTATAAACTCGAAATAACGAATTTATACAATTACAAAACATCAGAAGTGTGAATAGTTATACAAATTATATTATACAAATTTTGAATTATACAAAAGTTATACAAATTATATTATACAAATTCCGAATTATACAAATGCGTGAATTATACAAAACTAAAAAGCTGAGCTGTGTAATTATAGCTAAAAGTAAGCTGCGAATTATAATTAAGGTAAACTATAGCTATATTAAGTAATTAACAAGTATATGTTTGCTTATACGCGTAATTTTCCCTTATTATATATATATATATATATATATATATATATATTAAAATGAAGTTAAATGGCAGTTTCTTCAACTGTCGCATTGTTTTGTTTAAGTAGAAAAGGTTAAAGATGAAGAAATCCACGAGTATAGTAATTTAGAGCTCCAAGTGTATTTGCAACAAAATAATAAAGTTTGCTACTTCATCCCTTCAACGTTTGCAGGTTTCTTGTCCAAGCCTGGAATATCTATATATCGAGAAGGCTAACAGTATAAGTGCTCTATACTCTCATCAACATCCAACTGCCCACTTTAGCAACCTTGAAGCATTGGAACTATGGCATTATGGAAAATTGAGAAACTTGATGTCTCCATCAGTGGCCAGAAGTCTTCTGAATCTCCGAATACTAAGTATATATGATTGTCAATCAATGGAAGAAGTGATCACAAAAGAGGAACAACAAGGAGAACGAATCATGACCTTATTTCCCCGGTTGAAAGACCTGAGGCTTAACAATCTGCCTAAGCTGGGGCATTTCTTTCTGACGGAGCGTGCTCTTAAATTTCCATTTCTCAGAGAAGTGTGGATTGATGACTGCCCGCAAATGAAGACGTTTGTCCAACAGGGAATATCTGTGAGTACACCGAGTCTCGAATGCTTGAATGATGATTATGAAGTGAAAGTAGATGATCTCAATAAATGGACACAACAGAGGTTCAATTCTAAGGTTTGTCTAGTGCCGTTAGCTGTATAACTAATTAACTCTAGTGCTCTCTTTCCGTCTTAACTTAATAGTAATATTCAGATACTTATTTATGTTTGTCAATTGAAGCAATTTCCTTCTACAATAATTTTAATTAGAAATTTGAAGCATCACTATTCTTTGCTCAGGAACATAAAGCTAGCCAGGGCACTACCAATGGCGACGAATCTGAAGCTATTGTTGGCGACAAATCTGAGATGACTACGAAAGGGTGAAACGTGATTTTGGGGTGATGGTTGTTAGTACGATAGACATCTAAATAGTTGTATATATTAATGTAATTATATAGTGCTATAAATTAGTATTATCGTATAGATTTGTTGTAGAATCAGAGAAATAAATATTGTGATAGAATAACTGATTTGGAGGGATAACAAAGCAGATTTAGAGGGATTAAATAGCAGCTTTGTAGAGATAAATTAGCTGAGTAAATATCTCAGATGGTCACTTAACTTTTAATAGTTCACTAAGAAAGTCACTCAACTTTGAGTTGTTCACTTCGAAAGTCACTCAACTTTGTTTTATAACTCAAAAGTCACTCAATTATTAATAGTTCACTTAAAAAGTCATGTAACTATTGATATTTTACATAAAAAGTCACCCAACTAATTTAAATTTATTTTTTCATTGTAAAACAAAAAAAAAATTAACTATTTAAAAAAATAATAAGATGCTTATTTTAATTATTTTATTTAAGTATAATTTTTCTTTGTACCTATTTTTTTTCATTTTTAAAAAAGGCATTGTGCTGCGTATATTTTTATTACTTCTTATCAATTCCAACCTATTCTTCTTTTTTGGATCATTTTTAACATATTTAATTTCAGTTATATAATTACTAAAACGGAAAAAGTTTTTTTTGGGGTCAACTACTACGATACATTTTTCAAAAAATTATAATTAAATAATTCGGATTAACAAAATAAATAAAATAAATATCTTATCATTTCTTTTAAAAAAATAGTTTAACATAAAAGTTAATTTCAATAAAATTTTATGAAAAAAATATTTAAATTGATCGAGTGACTTTTTAAGTGAAATATCAATAGTTGAGTGACTTTTAAGTGAAACATCAATAGTTGAGTGACTTTCGAGTTATAAACAAAGTTGAGTAACTTTTTAAGTGAACAATTCAAAGTTGAGTGACTTTCTAGGTGAACAATTCAAAGTTGAGTGACCATATGAGAGGGATAGGAATGACAGATGTTTAGAGATGTGTAATATTTATACTCTCTATATAATGAAAAGACTTTCTCATTTTGAGAGACATTCAACAGAAAATTGACATGGTATTAGAGCCTTCTCTTGGTTGTCTTGTTTTATAGTGTCATATGTGGTTTTTTCTATAAAAAAATTGAAAATCTTGATTTTTTGTTGATTGTTCGTCGACAACCAGTCCTATCACCAAGGACTTCTGTTCTTGGTCATTCTAGTTGCTTTCTTGAGTCTTTGTAGTTATCATAGCTATTCAAAAGCATGAATTCACATCACTTTGAATCCTTTAGTGCTCGTTTCACTGGAAAAAATATTATTCTTGGGAGTTTCAATTTCAGTTATTTGTCACCGGCAAAGAACTATGGGGCCATATAGATGGAAGCAATTCTGCTTCTACTGATCTGACAAATCTAGGTGAATGGGAGATTAAAGATGCTCGGGTGATGACATAGATTTTAGGGTCGATTGGCCCTCTAATTGTTCTTAATCTCAGGCCGTACAAGACAGCTAAGGCCATGTGGGATTACTTACAAAAGGTTTACAACCAAGATAATTGTGCAAGATGCTTTCAGTTAGAGTATGAAATTGCTAATTACTCTCAAGGAGGTCTTTTTGTTCAGGATTATTTTTCTGGATTCCGGAACTTATGGGCTGAATTTACAGATATTGTCTATGCCAAAATACCTACTGAATCTCTATCTGTGTTTCAGGCAGTTCATGAGCAAAGCAAGCAAGATCAACTTTTGATGCAATTACTCTCCGACTTTGAGAGTATTCACTCTAACTTGATGAATCGTGACTCGCCTCCCTCTTTGGATGTTTGTTTTAGGGAATTACTTCGTGAATAGCAACATCTTGTCACACAAAACGCTTTCAAGAAAGAAAATGATGTCACTGTTGCATTTGTTGCTAAAGGTAAAGGAAATGGTAGGGTTATGACTAGAACTCAATGCTACAATTGCAAGGAATATGGTCCTATTGCTAGCTATGGTAGCAAGAAGTTCCGTAATTATTGTAAACAATAAGGACACATTATCAAAGAGTGTGATAAATGGTTCCACTATTGATAACTCATCTTCAGGACAAGTTCTGACTCCTGAAATGGTACAACAAATGATCATGTCAGCCTTTCAGCATTGGGATTACAAGGTAATGATGTTACATCTAATTTTTGGATTGTTGATTCAGGTGATTCCAATCATACGACCAACTCAACGAGCATCCTAAAAAATATTCGTAAGTATCAAGGTCCATCACAAATACATACTGTCAATGGTAGTAATTTACCTATTACCAAGGTTGGGGACATTACTCCAACTTTCAAGAATGTTTTTGTTTCACCAAAGCTCTCAACTAGTCTTATTCCAGTTGGACAATTGATAGATAACAATTGTGATGTGAATTTTTCTCGTAATGATTTTCTTGTGCAGGATCAAATGTCGGGGATGATAATCGTGAAGGGGCCTAAAGTTGGACGATTGTTTCCTATATACTTTTCCATTCCTCATGTTCTATCTTTTGTGTGTACTTCTACTGCTAGTAAGATTGATGGCATAAGCGTCTAGGGCATCCAAATTCTGTTGTGTTGTCTCATTTTTCAAATTATGGTTTATTGGGAAATAAAAATTAATTTTCAGTTGCTTCCATTGATTGTTCTACTTGTAAATTAGGCAAAAGTAAAACTATTCATTTTTCTAATTTTGGTAGGCGTGCTACAAAGTATTTGATGGCATTCATAGTGATGTTTGGGACATTTCACCAATTATTTCTCATGCTCAATTTAAATACTTTGTGACATTTATAGATGATTATAGTCGGTTTACATGGGTGTATTTTCTTTGATCAAAATCTGAGGTATTTTTCATGTTCAAGACATTTCTGGCTTACATATTGAGACTCAATTTTCTACGTGCATCAAATTATTAAGATCTGATTCTGGTGGAGAGTATGTCTTATAAATTCAAAAAATTCTTGCTTGACAAAGGAATTGCCTCACAATGCTCTTGCCCATATACACCATAACAAATGGAGTTGATAAGAGTAAAAATCGACATAATTTAGATGTCATTCGTACTTTATTGATTGAGTCCTCTGTACCATCTAAATACTGGGTGGAAGCTTTGTCTACTGTTGTCTATTTAATTAATAGACTGCCATCTAAAGTGCTAAATCTTGAGTCTCTATATTTTCATCTTTATCACCAAAATCCTAAATATAGTGATTTTCATACATTTGGTTGTGTTTGTTTTGTACATTTGCCTCCTTCGCAACACAATAAACTTTCTGTACAATCTAATAAATGTGCTTTTATGTGTTATAGTACATCATAAAAAAGTTTTATTTGCTATGATCCATGTTCTTACAAATTTCGTGTTTCTAGAAATGTTGTTTTCTTTGAGAATCAATATTTCTTTCCTACTGTTATAGATTCATCTTCCACTTTTCTTCATCTTCCTACTTTTGAAGATTTATTATCTTTTTTTAAGAGTTTCAAATCTGGATTTGTGTATGAACGACGTCGACCGACTTTATCCCATACCGACATTGATCTGCCACCTGAAACTCTACCACAACTAGAATCTGAGACTTCTTCGAGATCTGGTCCTCTTGAGCCTACTAGGAGATCTACTAGAGTATTTCATACTCCTAATTGGTATGGCTTTTCCTCTACTTTATCTAGCATTTCTGTTCCAACTTGTTACTCACTAGCTTCCAAGCATGAATGTTGACAGAAAGCAATGGAGGAAGAACTCTTGGCTCTTAAAGAAAATGACACATGGGACATTGTTTCATGTCCTTCAAATGTCTGCCCAATTGGATGTAAATGGGTTTATTCAGTCAAACTTCATTCTGATGGAACTCTTGATCGATGCAAAGCTCGATTGGTTGTTCTTGGTAACAGACAAGAGTATGGGGTTGACTATGAGGGGACTTTTGCACCCGTTGCAAAAATAACTATGGTACGAACTATTATTGCCATTGTTGCTTCACAAAATTGGTCTCTTTATGGTGATCTTAAAGAAGATATTTATATGAAACCTCCACCTAGTTTGTTCTCATCACCTACATCAGATGTATGCAAGTTGAAGCGGTCTTTGTATGGATTATAACAAACTCCTAGAGCTTGGTTTGATAAGTTTCGGTCTACTTTTCTATAGTTTTCTTTTGAGCATAGCAAATATGACTCATCTTTGTTTCTTCGGAAAACATCAACACGTTGTGTTCTTCTTTTGGTGTATGTAGATGACATCATCATCACAGGAACCAATTCTTCATTAATCACTAGCCTACAACGGCAGCTTAAAGATTCTTTTCATATGAAAGATCTTGGTACTCTTACATATTTCTTGGGTTTGGAAGTTCATAATGATGTTTCAGGTGTGTTTCTAAACCAACACAAATATACTCAAGATCTAATTTATTTGGTTAGCCTTTAAGATTCCTCCTCCGTAGATACTCCATTGGAATTGAATATGAAGTATCGTCATGAGGAAAACGATCTTCTTCCTGATCCAACTATATTTCGACAATTAGTTGGGAGTCTAAATTACCTTACTATTACTCGGCATAATATCTCTTTTTTTTGCAGTTCAACAAGTTAGTCAATTTATGCAAGCTCCCCGTCATCTCCATTTGGTGGTTGTTCATCGTATCATTTGGTATCTTCTAGGAATATCTACTCATGGATTGTTCTTTCCAAGTGGCTCTCCTATTCATCTTAATGCTTTTAGTGATTCTGATTGGGAGGGATGTCCTAATACTCGTCGTTCAGGTTGGTGCATGTTTCTTAGAGAATCATTGATATCTTGGAAGAGTAAAAAGCAAGATCGTGTGTCAAAATCTTCAACAGAGGTTGAATATCGATCCATGTCTCCGGATTTCTCCGAGGTTTTATGGCTTTGTGGATTACTTGTTGAGATTGGATTTCCTCATGAATCTCATCCTACTCCTCTCCACGTTGACAATACAAGTGCTATTCAGATTGCTACTAATCCAGTTTTTCATGAGAGGACCAAACACATCGAAGTAGATTGTCATTATATATGAGAAGTTGTAGATAAAGGAGTCCTTACTCTTCCACATGTGTCCAGTGATCTTCAAATAGATGATGCGTTTACAAAAAACATGGCACGACAATGCTATCAGTTTCTAGTAGGTAAATTGATGCTTCTTCATCCACCAGTATCAATTTGAGGGGGATTTAGCATGATAGAAAACTAAATAATTGTATATATTAAAGTAATTATATAGTTCTATAAATTAGTATTATCATATAGATTTGTTGTAGAATCAGAGAAATAAATATTGTGATAGAATAGCTGATTTGGAGGGATAGCAAAGCAAATTTAGAGGGATTGAATAGCAAATTTGTAGAGATAGAATTGCTGATCTTTAGGGATAGGAATGACGGATCTTTAGGGATGTGTAATCTTTGTACTCTCTATATAATGGAAAGACTCTCTCACTTTGAGAGGCATTTAGCAGAAAGTTGACAATGGTAACAATGCCAAACCTACACATGGCAAAAGCTAGTGATGTCTATGAATCCAAAGCTAGCTGGGAAGGTAATAATAAGTATTCGATGAAATAGTCCAAGTAAATAAGTATTTGATGAAATAGTCCAAGTTTGATCGAACATCACCTGATACTACAGCGTGGTTTGTTAATTTTTGAAAGATGAGGCGAATCTTGAAGAAGTGACGCGAGCCTAGAGTAGCTGCCTATTACATTTTGTCCAGCTCCTTTGATATCTTATTAGTCGAGCTTGAATCTGCATGTGGTTCTAAATTCTTCTTTCATTACCTTTAATACCTAATAGGTAGTTTATTTTCTCATGACATCATGCATTCTATATCGTTTTGAGAGATTTTAATGCACACTTTTTTGAGTGCTCGTCATCCATATTTAATAGAGGCCTATATATAGCATCAAAAGAAAGCCTATAAATAGTTATCTTACTGCTTGTGATGGGAATGTTATATTGTATTTGGCTTTGCTAAGATGTCCCACATCGATAGAGGAATGAGAATTTGGTCTCCTTATATGGACTTGGACAAACCTCCCCTTATGAGCTAGCTTTTGAGGTTGAGTTAGGCTCATGTGCCATATCTTTACATGGTATCAGAGCCAGACGCATCCCAATTTGTTGTTCACCGAGGATGGGCCCTCATTTAGAAGTGTTCACGCTCCAGTTGAGGTCTGGGCGTGCGGGGTAGTGTTAAGATGTCCCACATCACTTTGACAAACCTCCCCTTATGAGCTAGCTTTTGAGGTTGAGTTAGGCCCAGGTGCCATATCTTTACATAATATTGGGTCCAAAAGCTCTTTAATATTGAGACAAAAACATATTAGATGTAATCAAGATGAATGAACAATGTTTTGGCATGTGAACGGAAGACTAAAAGTGAAGTCTTTGTTTAAAAATTCTTCTTTGATTTTTGTAGCACTAGTTGCCTACAATTATTATTTTGATTGCTCATTGCTAATGGCATTCTTGTATATTTCAAAGCTCCAAGCATTATCTGCTCAAGACTATTGTGATGTCAGTTAACATCTAACATGCATTTATCCCTTTTTTATAACCATGGTGCCTATGTCAGCTTGCACGCATGTTAGTTGACTCAACTTGTAACTATATGGGGTAGCATTGACTTGTACTTTCCAGTAAAATACATTGATAATGTAAGAGTTGTTTACATTGACGATGTATTCAAGTAAAATTCTTATTTGAATTGTCTGAGTGAGATTCTATCATTTCCTTCAATTTGTGAGTTTTCTTATACTAGAATTTGTTGGCTTTTGTGTGTTTGATTAATTTGCACAAGAAACATAAACACAAGCGCCAATAGTAGATACTAAACTACCACAAAACAACATAGTTGTTGATCAAAACAAGGACATAAAAGTGAGTCTGATGACAGAGGAGAAGGGTAAACATATGGTCCCAACGCAATAATAATTCCACGGTCAAGACAAACTAGGAATCTTGTGAAATATGTATAATTTTCTTTTCTTACCTGCTCTTATTTTATCACTATATCTTGCAGCCTTGTATTTCGTTGCTGTGGGCGGGCCACTGTTGCTGCCTTGTTAGGAAGGCATGTTGTACGAAAAACAATTAGCATAGTTAAGAGAACATCTGTGATCATCTTTATTTTGGCCTTCACAATCTTTGTCATTGCACTCTCATTAGGCAAGTTCCTTCTCTTTTCATTTCGCTTTCATATTTTGAACTATAATTTGAAACTATCTCTTATCAATTAACTGACTCCTTCCTTAACTAGTTGTGTCACTGATTTTGTTGTATTGTCTACACGTATTTGGTTACAGGTGGTGTAGGCATAGAAGACGCGATTAAAAGGACCGAGGAAGGGCAGTACATGGGGTTTGATAACATCTGTGCACTTAATCCTAAAGTATTGTATATCTAGTGTTTTTCTGAACTTCTTGTAACAGATTTTGAATTTATTTGCAAAAGAAGTTGGTTTGTGATGGATTTGATCCTTGATCTCCCAAGGTCTATTTTCGCCTTCACTATTCACTAAGTCACAATGTTTACCCTAAAAATGGTACTATTGAATTTATATGAGTTCAAGAGCACGTGCCTCAATTTAACCTTAACAGTGTGGTGGGAGGTTAGGCTTGACCCGTACCATGTCTATAACATCCAAAAAGTTATAAAAGCAGAGGGGGACATGGACCTAACCTATGATAGAGAACAACGAGGATAATCTAAACAATCTATAGAATGGCTATAATGACATAGATTTTCATATTATAAGCCAAATACAATGGTTCAACTTAAAAAATTATATAATAAATAGTATATATTTTTGAAGCAAATCAACTAGGTTTTGGAACTATTGTTCCTATGCCACATGCGACCCAATAATTTGTAGACCGAACATGGGTTGTGGTGCACTGGTGGGAGTGCTTCACCCTTAACCAGAGGTCTCAGGTTTGAGCCCTGGGTGTGGAGAAAATTCTGTTGGGAGCGTCACCCCCGAATGGGCCCTACAGAGCGCAATCCGGATTTAGTCGGAGCTCCAATGTGGGCTCCGGACACCGGGTGGAAAACCAAAAAATAAAATAAAATTGTAGACCGTGAAAAAAGATTTATGAGTAAAACGTATAATTTTACTTAGAATAATATTTCATTGTTTTACCTAACATTGAAACTACTAAAGAAGTTCATTTTGTAACTACTCATCCTAAGCAATGTGAAATGAAATAAAATATTTTATGAAGCATTTTCATCTACTAAAAGCTAGTGTTTTTTTTTTTTTTTTAAAATGCAACTTTTTTTAAGTATAATGTCTTTGTTGATTTTTGCTATTCATGCTAAGTCTAGTATAAATTTAATCTCAATCTTAATCATGCACCCATCCAATTTGTTAGTATTATTTTATCCTACCTCAAAATAAACCAACTACAGCAAGTAGCAGATTTTCTATACATATTAAAAGATCAGAACCAAAAGGACAAAATTAAAGAAGGAATTTTAAGCATAAGATGCCATTATAGTTCAAAAAGTTATTGCTTTTAAATAGTTAGTTGGTTAAGTGTAATGATCTATCATTTCTTGTTTTCAACTGGTTTTTTGGGTCAATGATGTTCTAATCTTGATTGCCTCAAAAGGGTGCTGCTGGTTTATAAATATACCAATTGATGGCTGAAATAGGGAAGGCTTTGACAGGATATGTTGTTGGAGTGATTGTTCTCGCTTTTGCACTTTTCGCGTCTGCTGAGCGAATTGCAAATGATGCAACAAGTGATGACTTTGAATCAGGACTATTCAATCTTCTGCTTCACAAGGCTAAAATACATTACCAACATTTTTGGCCCGTAAGTACACGTAAACATCAAGCTTTTTGTAAGGATCACTTTGTTTAATTGATGACTTGAAGGTGTAGCCGTTTATGTGATCTTATGGTAGATGTTATTACTCAAGTGTGATATGTATTTCAGGACTTGGAATTTGGGTGGAGAGTAATTGTTGGTTCTGTCATTGGATTCTTTGCTGTCGTCTTTGGGAGTTTAGGAGATGATAGGGGAGATGGTATCTTTGCTCCCATGCTTATTTTGATCATTGGGTTTGATCCAAAAACATCAACTGCAATTTCAGTATGTAAGTATCTTCATGCTTGTCTTGTTTGTATGCTGACATGTGACAAGTGTGATTTTTTAAAGTTACCGGGCTTCTTGTAAGATACTTGTTTTTTCTCTTCACTGAGTATGTTGTTGTTGTTGTATTCTGTTTTCCTTGTCAGGTATGATAACAGGTGTATCAGTGGCAACTGTGTTGCTAAGCCATCCAATAATTGAACACCCCATCATTGATTCTGATCTAGCCCTTCTTTTAACACCAATGCTGTTGCTAGGGATCAGTATCGGAGTTGTTCTTAACGTTATTTTTGCTGAGTGGATGGTTATAGTTATGTTGATCATTCTTATCATAGGTAACGATGATTCAGCTGTGATTCCTACCCATATTGTCGATATAGATTTCCTGATTGGTTAAGGGACTTGCAGTTCCATCAACTAGGGCATTCTTCAAGGGTGTTGAGGTATGGAAAGAAGAAAACAGAATGGATAAGGTTAATCTCTTTGAACCTTCTTTCTGATTGTAATGTGCATTAGAAATTGTGTTTTTTCTGATAAATTGTTCACTCGTGTTTCTTTTACGTTCAGATGGCCGCCAAACACTTGGTACCTCCCAGTGAGTATTTGTCACGACCCAAGGTACACCCTAGGCGTAACATGGCATATAGGACCCTGAGAGACCCTACACAAGCCACTTAGCACACAAGCCACTTAGCATACATTAAACAAGATAATAGAAATTCGAGAGAATTTAAAAGACAATTCCTATCAAATAGTTTCATAAAATGAAGCGGAAGTCTATATAGTCTCAAAGTCATCTAGTACATCAAGAGTGATCGGGACGTAACCCGTACATCACATACAATCCCTGATAAAGAAAAGACATAAAACAACAAAATGAAAGCCGTCCTCAAACCACGAGGACTCACCAAGTCTTCAAATGCTCTAAGTATAGCTACTAGCCACTGGAGGGAGAAGAGTCACCACTCCCTAGTCCCTACATTTAGGAAAAATGTAGGCAAGAGAATGCGTTAGTACAAATATGTACCAAGTATGATAGCAACGCATAAAAGTTATGTAAATCATGCTAAACAGACATTTTTATGATATGCAAAGACCAAGTTAAACATAAGGTAAGAGTATGAAAACATAAAGCATAATCATGGTCAATGCAAATAAACATCGTGTTTAAATACTTGTGAGATACTTCTTGAAGTAACCTTAGTTCATTATTGTGGGAGATTTACCTTTTATCGACACAGAGACCATGTGAGCTAAAATATGGAATCCAGTGTCTACCCCACACCGAAAAGAGGTGTTCTTACTTGTCAAGGTAAGAACCATGAACTTCTAGCTTACATGGATCCACTAGCTAATGTCTATCTAGACAACCTATGGTGGCACATAGTTTATGGGACATGGGTAATCGCCACTTGTCCACTCGGTGCTAAGCATAAATCCCACGGAATCTTGATTAGTCTTATATTTTCTTAACATTCATGAGGCAATGGTAATCGCCTCTTGTCTTATCATTGGAGGTGATGGGTAATCGCCTCTTGCCTCATCATTAGAATAGCTCCTTAACATTGGTTCATTTTAGGTGAGAAAGTCTTTCAACCTTAAGAACCATTTATGTGAGAAAATCCTTTCAAAATCTTACTTTCATGTGTATGTGAGAAATCCTTTCACAACACCAACATGGATGCTTCACTCTCAAAGCAAATCTTAAAACATTTTCATCAATTTCATAAGAACATGCATATCTTCATAATTTCATGTGTTCAAGGATGTGTTCACTGACCGTGGACTCTTCCCCCATCCTTGAACCCTTCCTTAGACCTTTCTACCGTTCTAGAACCCTTCCTTACTAGTCCTTTTTTTTTTTTTGAGGTGTTACAGTATTGGAACACAGAACCAAATGAAGAAGAAGACGAAAATGAAGGTTTGACAATGTGAACACAGATTGCTTAAATTCTCTACTCTTATCATGCAAGTATCAACAGAGATATTTGACCAGTTAGTAATGTGAAACTGCAACAGATGCTGGTGCTGAAGATATTATGTACAAACTTCTACCTAGAGGTCCAAGAATTAGAAATGAAGAGGTGATCACTTTCATATTTGTCGCTATCAATTTACTTGACTACCTACATGGTCAATGTCTAATTTTTCATAAACAAACATTACCTCAAGTTATTTTGAACTTGATGTGCCTTTCGCTATACTGGAATGCTGACTTCTTGAGCTTCTCCAGGTCGTGTATACGAAGGATTTCAGCATACTTATTGCTGTGTGGGTCATTTTCCTCGTTCTGCATATTGTTAAGGTTTATTGCTATAAATTGCTTCTCTGTTTATAATACCTTCACATTTTCAGGACCATCTTCTGCACTATTAACTTTCTGACTAGAAGCTATCATTTTTTGAGTGCAGACATATACATCAACTTGTTCAACGACATATTGGATCTTAAATCTCTTACAGGTACTTATTGTTTGAAATGTAAACTATACTGTCTGTGTGTTTTCTCCAATTTTCACTCACCTGTTCCTGCTTCGGGTTGATATAGGAGGTATTAGCTTCTTCATATTCAAGAATATTTGTTTTCTACTTTTCAGGTCCCTGTTGCTGTAGGAGTTTCTGCATATGAAGCAGTTTGCTTGTATAACGGAACGAGGGTGGTCATGTCAAGTGGAAAAGAAGTAATAACCGTGTATATGGGAAACAGGGTGGTCATGTCAAGTGGCGAAGAAGTGATAACCTGGAAAGTGCATCAGTTGATCCTTTACTGTTGCTGTGGCTTTTTGGCTGGTATAGTTGGTGGTCTGCTAGGTCTTCATGGAGGATTCATTTTGGTTCCATTGTTTCTACAACTAGGGATTTTGCCTCAGGTGCATCTTTCGTTTCTCCTGATCATTCTAGTTTTAGAAAGATCAGCTTTTTCGACTTCCAAGTTGCATCTATTGACACATTGCAAATGCAGGTTTCTAGCACCACTGCTAACTTTATGATGATATTCTCCTCTTCCATGTCCGTCATACAGTATTACCTACTAGGACGCTTTCCAGTACCATATGGTAAGGACACAACTTGAAGATCGTCATTGGTTTTTATCGTTGATTGTTGAGCAATCATATATTCTATCACTATCTTGCAGCCTTTTATTTCGTTGCTGTGACCACTGTTGCTGCCTTGGTAGGAAGCCATGTCGTAGATAAAATAATTCGCATTATCAATAGAGTATCTGTGATCATCTTTATTTTGGCCTTCACAATCTTTGTCAGTGCAGTCTCATTAGGCAAGTTCCTTCTCTTTTCATTTGTTTACATATTTTGAGCTATAATTTGAAACTATCGCGTATCAATTAACTGACATATTCCTTAACTAGTTGTGTGACTGATTTCATCGCATTGTCTACATGTATTTGGTTACAGGTGGTGTAGGCATGGCAGACGCGATTCAAAAGATCAAGGAAGGGCAGTATATGGGGCTTGATAACTTCTGTGCATATAAGCCTTAAGTTTTGTATAACTAGTGTTTTTTTCTGGAGTTGTTATAACAGATTTTGATTTTATTTGCAAAAAGAAGTTGGCATGTGATGGATTTGATCCAGCCTTTTGCAAGGCATGACAAAAATTTACGAATTCACGTGCCCCATAAATTCATTTTTCGCCATGGTGTGATCTGAGGAGAGATAGAAATAGACCCATGTATTGGGAAGAATGTGATTAACCAAGACATAACACACACATAGCTTACCAAGGACATAAATGTAGGAAGATTAGGACAAAAGGTTAGTAGATAATCAACAATTAGAGCAAAAGGTTAAAAGGACCTCTTTGGCTGACAACTCGGAATGATAAAACAATGCAAAAGACAAACACAGCCACACCATTTCATCTCAGAATTTAAAACATGCACAAAACTTGTCAAACATAGAACAGGGAGGTTGGAACTACATCCATTATAGCGAGGAGTCGGTCAACATATCACACAAAATTAACGCCAATATGAATTATTGATAGGCAAAGGCACCACAATACATGTCAGTATATATTGGAAAGGAGCAAGTGCCCCATCCTAATTCATTCAGTCAACATAGAAATATCCCAAAAGTTAACAAAAACGTAACTATTTGAACTTAGAACACCAAACCAAGCCATGGGTGAGGGGCTTTTTAATACTAGGAGGAAGAATATATCACATTCCTCACTTCTTTCCGCTCTTTTTCAGGCCAGCACCACCAATGGACCCTTTCTGAGCCTTTGCCTTGAGCTCCTTCAGGGCCTGCAAGGTCACAAAGATGAGTTAATTGAGTCATAATGAATGGTCTATTACAAGCTGCAAGGAACAGAAGAATGAGTTACCTTTTCTTCTTCCTTCTTCTTTGCAAGAAAAGCCTTGTCATTCTGCAGATAAATCAAACGCATACAAGTTAGAGACAGCAGCAAATATCATGGAAGGCTCATGACCCAGAGACGGAATTAATCCAGTGGATACCAAATTCTGAGCATGAAGCATAATCCATAACAAAGGATTCATTATTAGTCACCTGTTCTCCCTTATTAATAACTTAGATACCAATGATTATTGCAACAAATAGAGAATCTCTGAATGTGTGACCATCTAAAGATATATTCCTCAAAATAGCCAAAGAACTTGCATAACAATCTAGTCTATTAGCTTCACTGATCTAGATATGTCAATGACAGTATATGGAGCGTGGGTAGCCACCCTGCTCTGCACCCATCAATTAACTATGACTCAAATCCAAACCAGTAAGGTCGACCAATGTGAGTCCTTATTCTGGTCACCCTGCCCCCCACACCCACATCAACAAAAAAATGTTTCACCCTATCTATAACACCTGCAGTCCTACTGAAAAAACAACAAAAACCTCACACAAATTCCCCATAATTTTGTTGCTGTTTTTTCCTTTGATGTTCCCTTTCCTCCTCAAATTTCTTTTCAATTTTCAAAGTGCTTCCAGAAGCAAATAATAACTTTTTTTAATGCATATACAAAATATACCTAGATTCTAACAGCATGTTTTCTTGTGCAGACTGTATCCCTAACCAACCTCCTCCTTGCTATCTATAAGGCAGAGGCATAACTATAACCACAATTTCTAAGACCTATAGCTTGTCTACATCTCTGTTAATATTATCTGGCAGTATCTTAGTGCTCGTTTTTATCATCAAGAGAAAATTATTTCTGATCACTTATCCCAAAACAGAACAGAAAAATTCAGCTGACACGCACACGCTTAGCGTCAATCCCAAATTAATTTAGGTCCAGTACACAAATCCTTTATTCCAATTCAAACAATCCATCACCCATAAATACAGACTATATCTATCCAAACAAAAGACCAAATCACCATTACCCATATTTGAAACAAAAGTGTCTTTCAGCAACAACCTATTGACCCCAAAAAAAAAGGATAAGGTTTGCTTACATCCTATCCTACCCTCCCCAAACCCCCACTTATAAGATTACACCAGATATATTGTTGTTGTTGTTAATATGTTGAATAAACAAATTGTAGTTAAAACACAAGATCTACAAAATAACAGAAGAATCTATACAACCAAACATCAGGTAAAATTTTCACAAAAACAAGATATTTCATGAATTACCTCATCATACTCCTTCTTTTCACTTTTTGGTGCCTTCAAAGGCTTTGCTTTTCCACCTATTCAACAAAACCAAAGTCAAAATACTTCTATAGCTTTTCTAACAACCTTTTGAAAAAAAAATCAACCCCCAAAATCAATTAGGTCAACTATAACCACAAAAAAATCAAATCTAACAAATTATATCCATTAGAACATAGCTCGACAATAAAACAACAAAAACAAACTCAAAAAAATAATAATCAAATCTTTCAAGAACAATACAAGGTTTGTTATACAACGAAAAAAGATCAAATCTTTACCTTGCTTGGAAGACATGGTTGATTTTCTAGGGTTAAGAGTTTGGATCTGTTGATGAAAACTTTCTCTCCTAACCCAAATAAGCTTTTTTTGTAAAGTGGCGTTGGAATTTTGATGGATTGTGCCAAAATTTATACTAATATTTTTCTTTATTGTATTATTGGAGTAGGAATAAAAGTTGTGGTTTTTTACTATTTTATCCTCTTCGTTGAAGTGTGTGAATATGAGATTTTGAGGGGTTTTTTAGGTATTTGAATGAAAGAATAAGCCAATTGGGAGGTAGGGCTAGCATATTCCTTGAGCAACTTGCCTTCTTCTAGTTTCGGCACCTCGATTAATTCCACGAAATATTAGTTACCTCTTATTAACACTACGTACTAGGTAACTCTGTTTACTAAGGCTAAGACAGATGAAAAGAATCACATATGATTTTCTCTTCTTTGTTTTCCACTTTAATTACTTAATACTCAACTATAATATTATTTAGGATCAATCTATAATTTACAACAAAAAAAATGAGTTTGAATTTCGGATCATTCTTTGTTATATTGATAGCGTTAATTAGAATAATATTTGATTCATTGGCTTGTTTTTAGAAAATTCTTCTATTCTTGTTAAGATTATAGGAATTATTTTAGGCATAAAAATTAGAGAAAATACATAATTACCCCCATTAAACTTAAACTATTTTTTGAAGTAGACACATAAAATTTGCGGGAGTTCTATTACACCACGAAACAATTTCAACCATTATAAATACATCATTTGGACAACAATGGTAATCTCAAAGCCTGCGCATGTGTTCACTCCAAAAAGAAAAAAAAAATTCTACAACCCATTTAATAAAAGATCGGGTAAAACCCAGATCCGTTCACATTTCAACCTCTAAACCCAACTGGATAATTTATTTCACTCTCTCCTTTCTCCTTCTTTCCACTAAAACTATTGCTTTTTTTTCTTCTTTTTTTCCAAATGCAACCATGAACTAGACAAGTTAAGCGAATCAAACAATAAATCTGATGTTTTGATAATCAATTTGTCATGGAATGTGTATTACAAAAAACTTACTCTGCAAATTTTGTATCTTTATCAGATACTGCAACAAATTGGCCATTCTCTAATACTTCAATTTTAATTATTTTAAAAATATTTTGAAGTCTGGAGTTGTAAATCGATCAATTTAACTACTTAAATTATGGGTATTTTTTTTATTGTTTCGGATGGAATTTCCATGAAAGGATTGAGTTGTAACTCAATAACACAGTCTCAGTCCATCAAGCAAAACACCTTTTAGGCTTGTTGCCGGCGAAGAATTTCATCCATGGCTAGCTGATTTCCTCGGTGATGGAGATAGATTTTTTTGTTTCATTCTCTGGTTTCTTCTCTCCCTTCTTCGCTGGCGGGGATGGGATGGAGCATTCAACAGTTATTTTTACTCCGCTAAAGTTTTTTTCTCATAAATTGGGTTTTCTTCAATTTTGTTGCCCTATTCATTAAGTGAAGTAGATGCAGTAATTGGGAGATCAAATTGGCATGCTACGTGTCATATTTCCACTGGTTGAAGCTAAATTTTCCTCAATCACGCGCTTCTTAAGCGTGATATCACAGCTGATGTAAAAATAAATTAAAATGATATATTTATAATGGTTGAAAATGGTTTCATGGGATAATAGGACTTGCGCAAACTTAAAGTGTCTACTTTAAAAAAGGGTCTAAGTTTGATGGGGTAATTATGTATTTTCTCTAAAAAATTATTATAATCTAGTCTCAATTTATATCATTCAACACTCACTGAATCGCTTAAATTTACGAGCATGTTTAATGTTGTCGCCATCAAAGAATGTGTCCAACCCATATATTTGTTGTGATACTAGAAAAAAATCAGCATATTTTTAATTTTCAGTATTAACAAATGAATGAAGTGGATGTTGGACTTTGATTCACTTCATGAAGTCCTTACTCCCGTACAATATTGTTAATCCTAATTCTTAGATTGTCAATCAACATTCTCCAATGTCCATCTTGGCCTAACCAAGTTATTATTGGGTCATTAAAATTGGTCTCGTTAATACTTTCATTAGCGATTACTGAATAATTATTATTGGACTTGATCCACTTACGAAAAAGTGGATCAAACAAGTTAGATCGTACTACAAAATTTTGTTTGAGCTTTTATCATCTACCATTTCAGTATCGAGTATAACAGATTTGTTGTTAATAGTGCTTGCTATGGATCAAATATCATATTTGTCAAGCATTTTTTATGGATATATTATGGGCTTTAAATTGTTTCAATTAATCATGTTCATGAATTTTGAATGATCCCGAAAAATATTACCTCATACTTCTTCTTTTGAATTGTACTAATAAAATAAATTATAGATTTTGTTATAATACATTGAACCTATTAAAAAATTAAAAACAATGACCAAATTAATATACATGAATTAAGATTTTAGCTAAAATTTAATAAAAATTTATTAAAAACAAAATTTTGATCTCACCAATGAAATCCAACGTTTATTGTTTGGATTATCCAATCAAGACCACCACATAAAAAGAAATAAATAAACAAATATATATTTGAGAAGAGGTATATATATATATATGCACCAATTATATCAAATAATACTAATTTTTATCATAATTAAAAGAGAAAAAATATTTAATTATTATTTATGATAATCTTGTTTGTTACAACACATCTCCTCATGTATTTATTGGTGCAACCATAAACAAGAATCATATACAATTAAAAGCATATATTATATCACTGCTATATGTATCTTATCTATCTATATCTATACTACCTTAAAAGTATGAACTCCCTAAGTTGAATGTTAAATTACTATAATATTCTCAACTAAAAACACTCAATTTAGTATATATTTTATATTTAATATTATATTTATTTATGCTATATTAAATTAAAAGAAGACATCTTTTCACATTGATGAGTAGTGACTTTTTCGAAGGATTGTTACTTTTTTATAGAGTTGTGACTTTTTCGATGAGTTATGACATTTCCAAAAAGTTGTGATTTTTCTGAAGGATTGTGACTTATCTGAAAGGATTGTGTAGTCATTTTTAGTAAATAACATATTTATAGCTATTGAACTTCAATAACCCTATAAATATAGTCATTTTTGTAAGTTGCTCTATCTGAAAAGACACGATAACCACATTTTCATACCATTCTTTGTTGTCTATAAATAGAGGGGGTTTCTCACACTTTTAAACTACGAATTTTGTAAGTTTTCTATTCTTCTTCTTAAAAACAAGGAAGATTGTGAGAGTTGTTCAATTATGTAATTACAATATTTTTTGTGGGTAAATTAGATAGACCAACAAAAATTGATGCAACAAGGAGAATGAAACAACTCAACTTCAAACGAGAAGAGTATCTTGATAATTAATATGTACTCATTTTCATAGCCATAAACTATACTTTTGCAACAACTTTTACATGACAAGAAGTTCAATGATTTTCTGTTGCACAAACTACAACTTGGTGTTCAGAATCTAAAAAGTTTCAAACTATTGGAGAATAAGTATCTGATCAAAAACTTGTTTGAAGAGTCCAAATTACATTTAATAAGTACTCTTTCGTTTCCAGTTTCTTTATTGCACTTTTATTTTTATTAAGTTTAATATAGAATGTTCTTTTTTCTTGGGGTGGGGGCACATCTTTAAGACCACAAAGTTCAAAGATATTTTTAGGTAAAAAAGTCTGAAATATATCCGAACTTTGACCGAAATTGTTGTAACAATACCGAACTTTGGAAAGGACCTTTTACCCCCATGCACTATTTAATAGTGTATTTTAAAGGTATATATGTGCCCACGTGGACCTGCACTATTTAATAGTGTATTTTAAAGGTATATATGTGCTCATGTGGACATTATAAATATTGCATCATTATAAATAGTAACATGTCCACGTGGGCACATATATACCTTTAAAATACACTATTAAATAGTGCAGGTGGGTAAAAGGTCCTCCATAAAGTTTGGTATCGTAACAGCAATTTCGGCCAAAGTTGGAATATTTCTCGGACCCTTTTCCCATATTTTTATATATTCTACATATGATCCTTAAATTAAAAGTCTTCTTTGTTTTTTAAAATTTCACAAATTAAAATTAGACAAATCTATATCAATTTTTTTTTTATCTATCTATACTACTTTAAAGAATGAACTACTTAAATTAAATATTAAATTATTACAATACCCCAAACTTAAAACACAAAATATAGTATATCTTATATATTTTATATTGTATTATATATGATTATGTGTATTATATTATATTATATTAAAGACAGACACCTTTTCACATTAAAAGCTTGTAAAATTTTCGAAGAGTTATAACTTTTTTGATGAGTTGTGACATTTTTTATGGATATATTATGGGCTTTAAGTTGATCCAATTAATCATGTCCATGAATTTTGAATGAGCCCAAAAAATATTGCCTCATACTTGTTCTTTTGAATTGTACTAATAAAATAAAAAATTAAAAACAATAACCAAATTAATATACATGAATTAAGATTTTAGCTAAAATTTAATAAAAATTAATTAAATATAAAATTAGATCTCACCAACGAACTCCAATGTTTATTGTTTGGATTATCCGATCAAGACCACCACATAAAAAGAAATTAAATTAAAAATGATCAGTAAAGCTGGTTCAATGCAATTAAAAACAAAAAATCAATATAAGCAAAACAAATAGAATATTACCCAAGGGCATAAAATAAATAAATAAACAAATATATATTTGAGAAGAGGTAATATCTATCTGCACAAATTATATCAAATAATACTGATTTTTATCATGATTAAAAGAGAAAAATCTTGTTTGTTACAACACATCTCCTCATATATCTATTGGTGCAACCATAAACAAGAATCATATATAATTAAAAGCATATATTATATTACTGCTATATGTATCTTAGTATGTGAAAAAAAGTAAAATGAAATAAAAAAACAAAAAAAAAAACATAGACAATCAAATAATAATAAGCAGCTAAAAGAACACAACCAAATATAATTTATTTTTGTCGAATTCAACTTTTAAAATCTTAATAATTTGTCATACGTGTGTGTTGTGAAATTTT